ACTCCAAGTGGGCTCCCAGAAGACGCCTGAGAGAGGCCGCGCAAGCAAAAGTCGTCCAAAAACCTACGGGAGACATGTTCGTCTCAATTTCTGTGCGTTTCGTTTTCCAAGCGTCCACGACAACAATATAGGACCCCAACATCGCCTCAAGGCGACTCAGGAGGCCCCCATGAGGCTCCCCAGACAGCCCGTGAAGGAATCAAGACAGCCCCAAGAGCGGCCAACGATGGCCTCCAAACGGTCCCAAGACGACCCCACAGGCGTCCAAGACGGCCCCAGACGGCCCCACGAGGCGCCCAAGACGGCCCAAGGAGGGCCCTAAGAGGCACCCAAGACGGCCCAAGACAGCCCAAGAGGGCCCCAAGAGGCCCCCATGAGGCCGAAGTGAAACCCCGAGAAGCCCCCAAACAGTTCTCAAGGAGAACGCAGCGCCCGCCATCCGGCTTGCAAAAAACAACCACACTTATCCTGGCAAAGCAACCTAACAGCGATGTGTATAAGCATATCTGGAAGCATTCCCCTTAAGATTCAGGTGAGAATCCAGTTGTAGAATTCTGCTGTTCTCGCAGTCGCAGTCGCATTCGCAATGACAGTCCCAGTGGCAACGGCCTTAGGATCCAATGGAATCCTAAGGATTCCTAGGGATTCCTCAGGCATCCTTAGGCATCCTTAGGAATCCATAGGGATCCTTAGGAAACCTCAGGAATCCTAAGGATTCCTGAGGATGCTTAACTATGCCTACGGATTCCTAAGGATGCCTACGGATTCCTATGGATTCCTAGGGATGCCTCAGCTTGCCTCAGTTTCAGCCTCAGCCTCAGCCTCAGCCTGCCTCAGCCTCAGCCTCAGCCTGCCTCAGCCTCAGCCTCAGCCTGCCTCGGCCTCAGCCTGCGTCAGCCTCAGCCTCAGCCTGCCTCAGCCTCAGCCTGCCTCAGCCTCAGCCTCAGCCTCAGCCTCAGCCTCGGCCTCAGCCTCAGCCTCAGCCTGCCTCGGCTTGCCTCAGCCTCCTGCCTCGGCCTCAGCCTGCCTCGGCCTCAGCCTGCCTCGGCCTCAGCCTGCCTCAGCCTGCCATCCTCCCCCCCCCCTCCCCCCCCCATTCAGCCTCACCTTGTCTCAGCTTCGGCCTGCCTCGGCCTCATCCTCAGCCTCAGCCTCAGTCCCAGCCTCAGCCTGTCTCGGCCTGAGCCTGCCTCGGCCTCAGCATCAGCCTGCCTCAGCCTCAGCCTGCCTCAGCCACAGCCTCAGCCTGTCTCAGCCTCAGCCTGCCTCAGCATCAGCCTCAGCCTCAGCCTCAGTCTGCCTCGGCTTGCCTCGGCCTCAGCCTCAGCCTGCCTCGGCCTCAGCCTCAGCCTCAGCCTGCCTCAGCCTCAGCCTCAGCCTGCCTCAGCCACAACTTGCCTCAGCCTCAGCCTCAGTCCCAGCCTCAGCCTCAGCCTCAGCCTCAGCCTGCCTCGGCGTGCCTCAGCCTCAGCCTCAGCCTGCCTCGGCCTCAGCCTGCCTCGGCCTCAGCCTGCCTCGGCCTCAGCCCGTCTCAGCTCGGGCATTCAAAATATTGCAAAGGACTGGTGTTCTGGGAACACGAAGAACACGAAGTGGCCTACAGTTGGCTCGGGGCATGCAAAATGTGGCCTGGGAATGGTGTTCTGGGAACACGAAGAACACGAAGTGGCTTACAGCTGGCTCCGGGCATTAATAATGTGGCCTGGGAATGGTGTTCTGGGAAGACGAAGAACACGAAGTGGCCTACAGCTGGCTCCCGGCATTCAAAATGTGGCCTGGGAATGGTGTTCTGGGAACACGAAGAACACGAAGTGGCCTACAGTTGGCTCCGGGCATTCAAAATGTGGCCTGGGAATGGTGTTCTGGGAACACGAAGAACCCGATGTGGCTTACAGCTGGCTCCGGGCATTTATAATGTGGCCTGGGAGTGGTGTTCTGGGAAGACGAAGAACACGAAGTGGCCTACGGTTGGCTCCGGGCATTCAAAATGTGGCCTGGGAATTGTGTTCTGGGAAGACGAAGAACACGAAGTGGCCTACAGCTGGTTCCGGGCATTCAAAATGTGGCCTGGGAATGGTGTTCTGGGAATGGATTCCTAAAGATTCTTAAGAATTCTTAAGGATTCCTAAGGATTCCTGGGGCTGGCCCTTTTGTCCGGTTCCTTGTCCAGATCCCGCCCAGACTCCCCTGGGGCGTCAAGATGTTGTTTTTTGATCCCACTAGAAACCTATCAGCCAAAGCTGTAAGGTAAAAAAGTGGCCGCAGCCCTCAGAGGGCCTCCCCACGGAGTCTCGACGGCCCCCGACGGCTCAGAGAGAGAGCGCCCCGACGGCCCGGGCGGACTCCCAGCGAGCTCCAGGCCGGCCCAAGAGTGCCCGACGACAGGCGAGAAGCCTCCCAAGACGGCCCAGGAGACTCTCCGTCAAGGCTCGAGACGGCCAAAACATTGATTTTCCATTGCTTCTTGAAGGATTCCCAGGCTCTTGCCATCTACTCCCTAGAACGGCCCAACACGGCTCCAAGACCCTGCGAGGTCGTTCCAACACGGCCCACGAGGCCTCCAAGAGAGCCCCACGGCACTCCAAGAGTGCCTCGAGACGGTCTCACGACGGTCCAGGACGGCCCCGCGACGGCCCAGGAGGCGCCCAAGACGGCCAAAGAGGCACCCAAGACGGCCCCAGGAGCGGCCCAAGATGGCCCACGACGGCACAAGAGGCGCCTACGCCGGCCTCCGAAGGCCCCACCACGGCCCAGAGACACCCAAGACGACCCGGACAGAACCCCCCGTAGTCCCCAAACGCCCACAAGACGCCGCCGGACCCCTTCCCGCGGACCTTTTTCTCCTCCCGAGCTGCTTTGCTCAAGGTGTCCTGGGGCTTTGCGAGGGCCCCCAGGGGCTGAACATTACCAAAGATGTTCTCCGGCCTCCCCGATGAGGTCAGAGTAGATGGGGTCGGAGGATTGCGCCGCATCGCCTCTGCATCGTCGATGCGGCTGGATTCGGAGCCCCAGTTTTTCACGCAGCCGTCGGCGAAGCACCGCCGACGCCGCCGCTGCATCGCCGCTGTGGCGCGCTCATCCAGGCCCATCTCCTCGGACCCCATGTGGCCGGCCTCTCATGTTCTTCACGTCATCATGATTGCTTTTCGGCCCTACATCCGCCCCCCCCCCCTTGTTGCTACCACATGATGACGTGGACGGAGTTCACGGGTCCACCTTAGTCAGCTACAGCGCTGCGATCAGCGCGTGCGAGAAAGTCGAGCAGTGGCAGCGGGCGCTGGCGCTGCTGGGCGAGATGCGGGAGGCGAATCTGGAGCCCGACGTCATCAGCTACAGCGCTGGGGTCAACGCGTGCGAGAAAGGCGGACAGTGGCAACAAGCGTTGAACATACTCAGGACCTTGCGATTGAGAAAGGTGGATGGTGTTTTTTATGTCTACGGCATTGCAGCTAGCATGTGCGAGCAAAGGGGGCACTGGGGCCACGTGCTGTCGTTATTCTAGACGCTTCGCGTATCCCCTCCAGCCCATCCAGAAAAGATGTCCAGGCGAGTTGAGGTGATCAGGGAAGTGCAGGAGCAAAGAGGTGGACGGCCGAACGAGGAGAAGGAAGTGGCTGGATGGATGGATGAGGGAGTGGTGAGAAGGAAGATGAATAGGATGATGATGATGAGGAGGAGGAGGAAGAAAAGGAGTAGGAGGAGGAAGGAGCAGGAGGAGGAGGGTAAGCAAAAGGGCTAGAGGTCTCTTGGATGCCTCTCGGGGCCTCTTGGGATATCTCTTGGGCGCTTCTTGGAGGCCTCTTGGAACGTCTTGGGGGTCTCTCGGCGGTCCTGGGGGGCTCTTGGGCGTCTTGGGTGCCTCGGGGGGGCCTCTTGGGGCCGCTTGGGGTCCTCTTGGGGGCCTCCAGGGGGCCTCTTGGGGCCATCTTGGAGCCATCTGGGAGACCTTTTGGGGCCTCTTGGGGCCTCCTGGACGCCTCTTGGGGCCAGGAGGGGCGGGTCGCAGTTCGCGCTGCCCCCTCAAAAGGCCAAAATGGAGCCCAAACCCAAGGAAAATCAATGATCTTGGCTTCCTCACCGAGGCCGTTGTGGACGCTCCAACGACCCGCGACCGGCCCCGTCCAGGTCCAGGGGAGGGGGTAAGGGGGAGGGGTCAAGAGTCTCTCTCCCCGCCCGCAAGCCGTCTCGCTCACTTCCACCCGCCCTCCCAACACATACGTAGCACCCGAGCCTGGCCCGAGCCGCAGCATATGCAGCAGTCGTCTTTGAATAGGCAGCTACTGGGGGCGCATCCGCCGCCGCTGCCGCGCCGCCGCCGCCGCCGCCGCCGCCGCTGTCCGCCGCCGCCGCCGCCACCGCGCCGCCACCGCGCCGCCCGCCGCCGCCGCCGCCGCCACCGCTGCCGAATCGCCGCCGCCGCAGCCGCCGCCGCCGCAGTCGCTGCCGCCACCGCTGCCGCCGCCGCCGCCGTCGCCGCCGCCGCCGTCGCCGCCGCCGCCACCGCCGTCGCCCCCGCCGCCGCCGCCGCCGCCCCCGCCGCCGCCACCGCCGAAGAAGCCGCAGCCGCTGCCCCCGCCGTAGCCGCCGCCGCCGCCGCCAAGTGTACTCTGTTTTTTTTGTGAGGGATGGTAGGAGGAGGCCGCATCGGGTTCGCTGCGCATATTCCGAATTTGGAGGCATTGTGTGTTTGAATTGTTTGTTACAAGGGATGGTGGGGGGCAGAGTGTGTTTTGTATGGTTTTTTCAAAGGATGGTGGGGGGGCCCATTGACCTGGGTTGGCTCCCAGTCGCTTGGGGGAGGGGGTGTATATTTATAGGGAACAGTGATAAGCCCTTTCCCGAAGGGGAATAGGGAGGGGTGGAAGAGGAAACGCTCTAAACCACCTACGCCCAGAGGGCTGGTCGGATTCACGGAGATGCTTGACCGATTGTTCGAACAAGGTCTGCGCTTCAGTTGTATGGCTGGGTCCAGCGGTTGTGAGATGGGCGGGCAATCGCAGCGGGCTTTGACGCTGCTGAGCGATGTGTAGGAGGCGAAGCTGAAGCCCGACGCCACCATCACCCCTTTCAATTCCGAGACACGACGTGTGCGCCGGAAGGGTCTCTGGGCGAATCGCGTCCTAGGGCACCTCCGGGTGCTGTTCCGAGCGCCTTCGGCGCTGCCTCTAGGCCCCTGCGGCCACGGGGCGGCCCAAGACGTCCCAAAACGGTCCGAGACAGCATTCGACAGTGCCCCCGATGGTCCGAGTTGGCTCCAAAAGCTGCCCGACAGGGCCCCCAAGAGGCCCCAGCGGTTCCAAGAGGCCTCTAGACGCCCCAAGAGGACTTCCAGGAGCTGTCCAGCAGACCACGGGAAGCAAACACAAGGTTCAAAGCCAAGAGAGAGTCAATGCATTCTGCTTCTCAGGCTTCTCGGCGCGAGACAGCTCCAAGACTTCTTCGGAAGAAGATCTCATACTCCTCGCGGGCCATCTTAGGGCCCTCTTGGGCCCCCCTTGGGGCCGCTTGGGCTGTCTTCGGGGCCTCCAGGGGCCGTCTTGGTCAGTCTTTGGGCCGTCTTCGGGCCCTCTGGACCGCCTTAGAGTGCCACGAGAGAGCCCCAGGGCGGCCCCACAGGACTCACAGAATGGGCTCCCTGTCGACCCGACACGCCCTCCGGCGAGCGCCACGACGACCCAGGGCCCCCAGAGAACCCTATAACACGGCCCAGGACGGCACCAAGAGGGCTCCACGCCGCCCCATGTCATTACGGCCAGAGGGTCCTCCCGCACGGTCTTCAGATCCGCCAGAGTACAAGCCAGCAGCGGCAGCAACGAGCAGCCACCAAGAGACATCGGGCAGCCGCAGCACTGCCCGTGGCAAGCTGGCGGTTATCCTGCAGAGAACTCTGGAACCGCGCCGGCCACCCAGGAGAGCCTCATGGGCGACCCAAGAGGCTCTAAGAGGCCCCGACACAGCTTCCAAGCGGTCCCATCGAGAGGTCCAAATCAGGCCCCAAGAGGCCCCGAAGAGGGCCCCGAGATGCCTCAAGACATTTCAGGACCGCCTCCAAAGGGCTTCCAAGGGAAGATCCCCTAGATAGCTCTGGGACCGCGCCGGCCACTCAAAAGAGCCCGATGGGCGACCCAAGAGGAGGCCAGATGTTCTTCCACACGCGCGCCGAGGCCATTGAGACATGCGTGTGCTGGCCTCCTACCATGCCTCCCTTGTCGCTCCCTGCTCCTCGCCCCTCGCCTCCTTTCTTCTCACTCCTCCTCGCTGCTTCCACCTCTCTCCTGGCCCCTCGCTTCTCCCTTCTGGCTACTGGCGTGTGCCTACTCCCTCCTCTTCGGCTCTCCCTCATTCCTCATCGCCCATCTCCCTCCTCGGCCGTCGCTCCTCCCCTCTCGCTCCCTCCTCCTCGCTGATCGCTTCTCGCTGATCGCTCCTCGCTTCCCCCACCTCCACACTCGGTCCTGACTTCTCGTTCCTTGCTCCTCGCTCCTCGCTCCACTCACGAGCTGCAGGTTGCGTCATCGACCAAGGGTACCAAAAAGCACCACTCTGCAGCCTCCTCTTCCTCCTCCTCCTCCTCCTCCTCCTCGTCGTCCTCCTCCTCCTCCTCGTCGTCCTCTTCCTCTTCCCCTTCCCCCTGAATGTGATGACGTCTAGCCGGCCGGACACTTCAGTTCTTCTCTCCAGTGCTTGTTTTACTTCTTGGATGTTGTGGTAAATAAAGCCGCTGGTCAATCTCTGCCGCGTGCCGCCACGGAGTGCACATGTGACTCGAGTGCTGTTGCGGTCGTCCCCTCCTGCTTGCCCCTCCTTCTTCTCCAACAAACAAAAAACAGCACTCTGCAGCCTCAAGCAGCAACAGCGAACAACAGCAGTCCGCAGCAGGCAGCGGCAGCACAGCAAGAATTCGCAGAAACAATATGCCGTAGGCAGCAACACCCTGCATCTGCAGGGAGCAGCTGCGGAGGCGACTCCAAGGCAGAATGGACTCGCCTCCATGGCGGGCGCAGCGCCCACACGACCGCGTGTGCTGCGACGTGCATCACCTCGCGGTGCTGTGCGCGGGAAGCGTGCAGGCGCCGCGCCGCACAACGCGACCAACGACGCGGCCGCCGTCGTCGCTGCCACGAGCGGCGACGCCACTGCCGTCGTCGCCGCCGCCGTCGTTGCTGCCGCCGTCGCCGTCGTCGCCGCCGCCGCCGTCAACGTAACGCAGATATCGGATATCGGGCAGATGCCGTGGCCGGTAGGCCACGGGTCAGCCCTAGTCAGCTACAGCTCTGGGATCAGCGCGTGCGCTGGCGCTGTCCAGCGAGATGTGGGAGACGGCGCTGGAGCCCAATGACATCACCAATTTCAGCGCTGGGATCAGAGCTTGCGGGACGGGCTTTCAATGGTCAATGGTAGCATGCTCTGTTGCTGCTCAGTGAGACGCGTGACTCGAAGCCGGAAGCCGACATTATCAGTTACAGCGCTAGGGTCAGTTGGCTCGACAAGGGTGATCAGTGGCAGCGTAGTTTGGCGCTGCTCGGCGAGATGCGCATGTTGGAGCCCAGCGTCATCTTTATTTGATGGTTTTGCTCATTCCGCCGTCCCATCTTTCATGACAGATGCTACATGATTGTGTGTTCGTGGCGGGCGAAAAGGAGGAGGAGGACGAGGATGAGGAATAGGAGGAGGAGGTTGAGGAGGAGGAGGAGAAGAAGGCGGAAGACTTTCGATGGTTGCTTGGGCAGCATCACGAGAGCTTCTGATGACAGCCTCGGTTCGAGGATGGCGCTGGTCCATCTTGTATCGATGGTGCTATGTATTTTTCGTGTTCGTGGCGAGCGAGAAGGAGGAGGAGGAGGAAAAGGAGGATGAGGAGGAGGAGGAGGAGGAGGAGGAGGAGGAGGAGGAGGAGGAGGAGGAAGAGGAGAGGATGAGGATGAGGAGGAAGAGGAGGAGGCCTCTCGATTGCTGTCTTGAGGACTTATTGTAGCGCTCTTCGTTCGAGGACTGAGGTTCGTTGACGCAGAGGGCGGAGAAGGGTTGGTGAGACGATAGAAGGCCTCTCGTGGGCCTCTTGGCGGTATTTCTGGGACCTCCTGGGGCGTCACGGGGGCCTGTTGGGGGACTCTTGGGGATCTCTTGCGGCCTCTCGGGGGCCTCTTGGGGCCTCTAAGGAACCTCTCTGCGCCTAGAGCTCGAAATGTCCGTTCGGGTCCCCCGTCTGGGCCGCTCTTGGAGCCGTCTTGGAAGCCTATTCGGACTCTTGGAGGCCTCTGGGGCTGTCTTGGGGCCCTTTGGGACCGTTTTGGGCGCTTTTGAAGGCTTCTTGGGCCGTGTTGGGGCGATCCTGGAAGCCTCTTGGGCCGTCTGACAGCCCCCGTAAGCCGAAAAGGCGAGAACGCCAACAACCTGCAAAAACTTGAGGAAATCACTAATTTCTGCTTCTGTGGGCCCTATGGGGAGGTCTCTTGGAGCCCTCTTGGAACGTCTTGAAGGCGCTTTGGGCTGTCTGTAGGCCATCTCTGACGTCTTGGATCGCTCTTGGACCGTCTCGGACCATGTTGAGCTCTCTTGGAGGCCACTTGAAACGCACCTGAAGCGCTCTTGGGACCCTGCTGGGACCTGGCCGGGGCCTTGCCAGGAGCCCAGCGTCACCTTTACTTCCGTGACGGGATCAGCACGTGCGAGAAGGGAAATTTTCGCAGCAGGCTTTATCGCTGCTCTGCGCGACGTGAGAGGCAATACTGAAGCCCGACATCATTAGCTACAGCTCTGGGATCGTGCGGGCAGGAAGGGCGACCAGTGGCAGGGCTCAGGGAGACGTAGAAGACGAACCTGGAGCTCGTCAACTACAACGCTGTGCTCATGGAGATGTGGGAGGCGAAAAATGAAGCCGAACGTCTTCAGCCACAGAGCTGGCATTGGCGCGTGCAGACAATTCGAATACATAGGCCAGCGGGCTCAGAGGTTGTTCAGTGAGATGTGTGAAGCGAATCGAGGTCCAACGTCATCAGCCACAATGCTGGAGTCGACGCGTGCTAACAATGTAATTGGTAGTGGGCGATGGCTCTGCTTGGAGGCCAACGTAACAAATGACAGCGCTGGGACCAGCGCGTGCGAGAAGGCGGGCAGTGGCAGCGGGTTCTGGTGCTGCCAGCGAGACGTGGGAGGCGAGGTTGGAGGGCAATGTCCTCAGCTATGACGCTGGGGCCAGCGCGTGCGAGAAGGGTTCACACTGGCCGCCGCTTGTTGTGGCGCTGCCGAGCGAGATATGGGAGGCGAAACTGGAGCCCGACGTCGTCTCCCTGGCGTCATCTCTCTGGGACGTCGAGCGGCTTCCGGCCGCGGAGGTGGAGGCGGAGCAGCTGAAGAAGCGTGCGTCCGAGCTGTTGGCCAAGCTCTCCGAGGAGCGGGAGCCGCGGGGAGCGGCAAGAAGCGACGCGTCTTTCCACGAGCGTCCCCCTGCGCTTTTGACACGCGTAGCCACGTGGCACCGGGCAGGGCGAGCCGACGCGCCCCAGCGGCCCTTGAGACCCGTGCCCAGAAGGCACGCGGCGGGGCGCGCCGGATTGCCCCGCCTTCCTTTGCCTCCTTCACTCTTGTCTTTCCTCTCCGCCCCCTCCTGCTCTTCCCTCCTCCTTCGCTCTCTCGTGATCGTGTCGCCTCCCCCCTCTGCTTCTCGGCCCCCTTGATTGAAACGAGAAGTCTCGACCTTGGCCGCTTGATCTTCTTCTCTGGCCTTGATCTCTCGATCTCCTCTCCTGCGCTGCTCGTCCGCATCGGTCTTCCCCCTCCTCCCCCTCTTCCTGCGCCGTCTTCTTCAACGCATGTTGCTCTCCGCTGGGTTACCCCCCTCCCCCTGCCTCTTGACTCTTGATCAATATCCTCTCTTCTTCGCTGCTCGTCGTCGTCGAGCTCTGTGCAGATGCCAGCCCGAGGAAAGAGCAACAGGGGAGTGGGCACAGCGCGCGGGCCCGTCTCCAGTCAGCATCCTGACCTCTCGCTGAGCCACCATCCGCCTCCCTCTCTTCCCTCCATCTCCTTCCCGCTGTCTCTCCCCCAAACAGGCCCGCCCGAAAAGGCGAGAATTGACAGCAGGAGTTGCGGGTGAACCGAAAAGCAAAGCAAGCCATATCCCGACAGGCGTTCATCAACCACGTTGCGTGTCCTGCTTGCGGAACGTTGCAAGGCTCGTTGAGCCGCTGGCCGACTGATGGAGGATCCGCCCGAGACTCCGAAGACGGGCAACTCCGACACCGCAGTCTGCGTGGCATACAATCTGCCGGCGCCAGCTCCCAAACCAGTGGCGCAGTCGTTGACGCTTTCCCCCATCTGCTGAGGAAAACCCGCGGCGGCTGCAACCGTTGGCGGAATGCGCCCGAAAAAGAAAGGAGGAACGGGAGAGGAAGGAGGAGGGGGAGGGGGAGGGGGAGGAGGAGGAGGAGGAGGAGGAGGAGGAGGAGGAGGAGGAGGAGGAGGAGGAGGAGGAGGAGGAGGAGGAGGAGGAGGAGAGGAGGAGGGGAGGGGGGGAGGAGGAGGAGGAGGAGGAGGAGGAGGAGGAGGAGGAGGAGGAGGAGGAGGAAGAAGAGGAGAGGAGGAAGAGGAGGGGAGGGGGAGGAGGAGGAGGAAGGGGATAGGGAGGAGGAAGGGGAGGGAGGGAGGAGGAGGAGGAGGAGGAGGAGGAGGAGGAGGAGGAAGAGGAGGAGAAGGAGGAGGGGAGGAGGAGGAGGAGGAGGAGGAGGAGGAGGAGGAGGAGGAGGAGGAGGAGGAGGAGGAGGAGGAGGAGGAGGAGGAGGAGGAGGAGGAGGAGGAGGAGGAGGAGGAGGAGGAGGAGGAGGAGGAGGAGGAGGAGGTAGGAGGAGGAGGAGGAGGAGGAGGAGGAGGGGAGGAGGAGGAGGAGGAGGAGGGGAGGAGGAGGAGGAGGAGGAGGAGGAGGAGGAGGAGGAGGAGGAGGAGGAGGAGGAGGAGGAGGAGGAGGGAGGAGGAGGAGGAGGGGATAGGGAGGAGGAAGGAGATAGGGAGGAGGAGGAGGAGGAGGAGGAAGAGAAGAGAAGAAGGAGGACGAGGACCAGCGTAAACCCAATATTCATCAGCGATATCGCAATCAACCCTCCCTCCAAGTTCCCACGTTTTTGAAGGGTCTTTCATAGGCCCGTATACGTGTTAATTTGCCACAGGGGGACATGCCCTGTTGGAAAACGGTTTGAAAAATCGGAACTGTCGCAGAATGTCATTCCTGGGATTTCAGTGCCGCGAATCACCGTTAGTGCTGCGTTGTGACGATCCTGAATCGTGCCAGGATACCATTCTTCTGATTTTGGAACCGCGAATCGACGCGGCTGATGCGCCCAGAGATGACGACATCGTGTCACAAGACCATTTCTGATTTTCTACAGCGAAAATCTCCAAAACAGGTGCATACTCTTCAGACGACTGCGCGCGGCGTTCAGGCAAGAGTCACACATCGGAAAATAATCAGCCTCCATCCGTGAAGCTCTTGCAAAGCTTTAAGACGAATGCGCGCGGCGCCATGGCGAGAACCACATTTTGAAAAGGAGCCGCCCTCCATTCGCGAAGCTCTTGCACATATTGAAGAAGAATGCGCGCGGCGCCAAGGCGAGAACCACATGTTGAAAAGGAACCACCCTCCATCCGTGAAGCCCTTGCAAACTTTTAAGACGAATGTGCGCGGCACTGAAGCAAACACGCGTGTTGAAAGCGGGCCGCCCTCCATCCGTGAAACCATTGTAACGCGGCGCCAGGACGAAAACCACATTTTGAGTACGGACCGCCCTCCACCCGTGAAGATCCTGTGAATTTCAAAAAACGAAAGCGCGCGATGTGTTGGCGAGAGCCACATGTTGAAAACGGGACGCCCTCCATCCGCGCAGGGGTTGCGAAGTTCAGGCTTCGAGGTCATCAGTGATAAAGAAGTCTCAGGCGAAGCCCAGCTCGCCATATCGACCGGCCTCGGGGCGCGACAGGGATGACTTATCTATGGGGAAAATGAATGAAAGAAAAGGCGGAGGAGGAGGAAGAGGAGGATGAGGAGGAGGAGGAGGAGGAGGAGCACCCGCACCCGCGGCGGCGGCGGCGGCAGCAGCACACGTGGAATTCCCCCGGCCCGCCGCAGCCCACTCCATCTCGAGCCAGGCCCCGCGGCGCCCGCCCTCGGGGCGCGCCCGATCCGGGGGTTGCCAAAGGTGTCGATGGCCACAGATGCCTCCAGGATGGCCCAGATGGCCTCCAGGGCCCCCCCCACGAGGCCCAGAGGGCCCCAGAGCCCCTCAGATGGCGCGAAAAACTGGGGACACCTGGGACCAGGGACGCCTCTCAGGGCCCATGTCATTCCGATCGATCCGATTCGCTGTCGAGTCTGGCTGATTCGATCCGATCCAGTCCACAGATCCCACGTTGCCGCGCCCTTCTAGCCGTGCCCGGAGATTAGTTTTGCATCCTCTGGCGCGTAATGGCCGCTACCTGTGTGTCCACCCCCTCCTCCCTCCCCACCACAGGTAAGAGCAACGATCATACGGAGGAGGGGTGGCCTGAATACCCCTATATGCTGGTGCGCGTGCAAACTATGGCGAACGCAACGCACCCCCACCTCGACGTGCCCCACCTCGCCCAATCGTTACTGTTACCCGCCCCCCCACGCCCCCCCGGGCCACGACCATGGCCGCGAATGTTAGAGCAAAAATCCTTCCCTCCTCGCCTTCCCCCTCCACCTCTGGCGATGTCTCCGCACAGTGCTCGTAGGAAGGAGCCTCACGCCAGGCCCCCCAAAGGACTGCCCCCGAAGAGGCAAGGTGCCACGGCAAGGAGTGTTTCCCCCCTTCCCCCAGTATAACAACCGTTGTGGTGGGGGCGTTCGTCAAGGAATGTGCCCAGGAGGCATCAGGCACAGGAGGGCTCCTGGTCTGATGAGGGCGGCAGTGGTTCCCATGGCCAAGCCAAGATCGGAGTTTCACCAGCTTCCAGGCCCTGGATTCCTAATCGAGTGGTTCCTTGTCTAATGCCTAGGGTCTTCTTAATCGTGAAATCAAAATGTTAATCGCGAGTAAATAACCACGCAGCGTTTTATACGCAGTGTTTCTGTACCCAGTGTTTTTTTGTTTAATCAGTGCGTCTGATTCGTAGTGTGTTTCCCAATCCCTGGGTCGTATTTTCTGCGTGGTGTTTGTTTACGCCGTGCTTCCTGCGCAGTGTGTCCTGCGTAGTGTTTCCTGCGTAGTGACTGCGTAGTGTGTGCTGCGTAGTGTTTTCTACGTGGCGTTTCCTGCGTAGTGCTTCCCGCTTAGTGTTTCTCGCTTAGTGTTTCCCGCGTAGTGTTTCCCGCGTCGTGTTTCCTGCGCAGTGGTTCTTGCGAAGTGTGTCCTGCGAGGTGTGGTTTGCGTAGCGTTTTCCGCGTAGTGTTTGATGCGTAGTGTTTTTACGAAGTGTTTTCTGCGTAGTGCTTCCCGCGTAGTGTGTCCTGCCTAGTGCTTCTTGCGTAGTGTGTCCTGCGAGGTGTGTTTTGCTTGGCGTTTCCTGCGTAGTGTTTCCTGCGTGCTGTTTTCACGTGGTGTTTTCTGCGTAGTGTTTGCCGCGTAGTGTGTCCTGTCTAGTGTTTTCTACGTGGTGTTTCCTACGCAGTGCTTTTTATGTAGTGTTCCCTGCCTTGTGTGTTTTCTTCGTAGTACTTCCCGCTCAGTGTTTCTCGCGCAGTGTCTCCCGCGCAGCGTTTCCCGCGTAGCGCGTCCTGCGCAGTGTTTCCTGCGTAGTGTCCTGCCTTGTGTGTTTTGCGAGTGTTTCCTGCGTCGTGTTTCCTGCGTAGTTTTTGTTTATCCCGCATTTCCTGCGTAGTGCTTCTTGCGTAGTGTGTCTTGCGTGGTGTTTTTGTTTACGTAGTGTTTCTTGCGCCGTGGTTCCGGCGTAGTGTTTTTTACGTAGTGTGTCTTGCGTGGCGTTTCGTGCGTAGTGTTTCCCGCGTCGTGTTTCCCGGGCAGTGTTTCTTGCGTGTTGTTTCCTGAGTATTGTGTCTTGCGTATTGTTTTTACAGAGTGGTTCTCGTGTAGTGTTTTCTGCGTAGTGTTTCCTGCGTCGTTTTTTTCGTAGTGTTTTCTACGCAGCGTTTCTTGCGTAGTGCTTTCTGCTTAGTGCTTTCTACATCGTGTTTCCTGCGTAGTGGTTTCTACGTAGTGTGTCCTGCGTAGTGTTTTCCGGTTGTGTGTTCTACGTAGTGTTTCCTGCGTAGTGTTTTCTACGTCGTGTTTCCTGCGTAGTGTTCTCTACGTAGTGTGTCCTGCGTCGTTGTTTTCCTCATAGTGTGTTCTACGTACCACTTCCTGCGTCGTGTTTTCTGTCTTGCATTTCCCAACCATCCTGTGGGTTTGGGTCTTCGTTTTGAAGAGACGGCGCCCCGCGTTCCTCTCCTCTCCTTCCTCCTCCCCCAACTCCCTGCACCCCCTCCTTCCTCCTTGCGTTTTACCCACCCAGTACAACGTTTCGTGGCCCCATAGGGAGCTCCACCGAAGGCACCAGCGGCAGGGTTCGCATGGCGGCCTCGGGCCATTTGGGCACA